TCATAAGTCGGTTGTTAAGAATGCAGGGTGTCTGTGATGATATTAAGGAAGCTTAGGTTTCTATGAAACCCATTCAACCTGTGATAGAACTAAGAATTGCATGAAGAAAATATTGTTGGGACACCAAGACACCAAACAATAGAATGAGCAATTTTTAAATTTTTTTTTTATTGGCCCGTCAGTGCTGAGAGATGACAGTGTTAGAGGAAGAGGCCAAACAAGCTGGTTTCTTAGCCCTAGCAAGGATTTCAGGAGCATTAAAGCCAAGGATACTGACGCTTTTGTCTGCTTTTTACACAATAGGTAGCATTCTTGTCCTCATTCCAGGTACAGGATGTCTCCTGCATGCAGCATTAGTTAGAATGTCAGTTTGACTCAAATAGAAAAAAGAAGAGATCTATGGCAAAGAGATTTCATTGGAATCAAATAGGGGAAGTAGGATAATTGTAATGGAATTTGTAAGGTTTTTGTGAAGTTCTCCTTTGTGCAGAAAAGAAAGAGGGAAAGACATCCAGGCCCATAATGCTTCACATGCACTGCTGTCTGGGGAGGGGGATATGTGTTCAGTCCTGCAGCCAGACAGAGGGGACCAGAGAGCTCAGCAGAGACTGCACAACCGAGAATGGACTAGGTTAGTTTTTTAAAATGAAATAAGCCTTTGTGTATCTGGTTTGATTGAATGCTTTTATGTGATATTTCATTCCCTCCCCCCATAATTACATGTTAGAATGTAATGTGAAATTGAAAAATACTCTTTTTGTAGTGGTAGGAAAGTGATCTTCAAATTTGGCCCAAAGATTTAAAAAAGAAACCAATACAAAACTGTTATAAATTATTCTGGACAAACACATTGTTTAATTCCTGAAGTCTCGTCTCTGTACTGCTGGCTTTTTTTAAAAAAAAAAAAACTAATGGGTGAGCACTAACTTAGCTGCTGATTTGGCTTAGATTTCCCCCTCCCCTTAAACATTTTGAGATAATTGCAGATTAACATATAATTGTAAAAGTAATAGGATTCCATGGCATCTTTATCTGCTTTCCACCAGTGGTTGTTACATCTTGTAAAATCTATACATGGAGATATAATATTGACCCTTCCCCCAGCTTCCCCCTCCCCCCACCTTGGATCCTCATACTCATTCTACAATAATGGTTTTATACAGTATTTGTCCTTGTGGGAATGCGTTCCCTCAGCATAAAGCTCTTCAGTCCCTCCCAAGTTAGGTAGTAATTTACAGAATCATTGCTCTTGCATGGTGCATAGTATTCTATTGTATGAATGTACCACAACTTCTCAGTCCATTTGTTTGTGGCTGGACATCTGGGCTGTTACCATGTTATTGTGATGGTGAATAATGCTGCTATGAGCACTGGTGTACAAGTTTCCATTTGAGCCTCAGTTCTCATTTTCTTGGAGTAGATTCCAAGCAATGGAATAACTGGATCATATGGAATTTCTGTGTTCAGCTTTTTGAGGAAGTGCCAAACTGCCTTCCAAAATGGTTGTACCATTGTACAACCCTACCGACAATGTAACAGAGTTCCTATTTCAATACATCCTCCCTAACATTTATTACTTGCTGTCCTGTTAAACTTTGCCACTGCTACTGGAGATGCTATCTCTTTGTGGTTTTGATTTGCATCTTTCTTACTGGCAGTGATTTGGAGCATTTCTTCATATGTCTGTGGAAATAGAAGGGAGAGGATGGGTAAAGGGGTAGGGTATTAATCATAGGGTTGCACGATTTGATGGGTGGGTGGGGTGAAGGAAATGGGAAGGATCTTTTGTAAAAAACAATGTATTCAAACTTTGTAAATAAATCAGAATAATTTTTTTAAAAAAAGAGAAAATATTGATACAATCACTTATCACCTGGTGCTGCTTTTTTATAGCCACATCACACCCGTCTCCAAGTCTCCAGTAATCACTAATCTGTTCTTTGTCATTTTAGGATTTCTTAATCCAACAATTTTTTTTACATCTATCCATGTAGCCAGCCACATCAGTATCTCTTCATTTTTTTATTGCTAAGTAATATTACATAGTATGGATGTATCACAGTTTAATTTTGCTTTTTAGTTTTTAACCATTCCTCTACAGAAACCTCTATGGAGCAGTGATGTCAGTCTTGAGACTGAAATGTGCCTGATCCAGGACATGGTCTTCACAATTACTTGCTACACATCAAAGAGTAAGACAGTGACTAAGAATGACAGAGACGAATTGATGCCTTTGACTTGTGGTGCTGGAGAAGAGTATTAATCAAACCGTGCACCACCAAAAGAACAAACAGATCTGTCTTTGGAAGAGTGAAACCAAGTTTCTCTTGGAGGCAAGGATTTTGAAACTTCATCTCACATACTTTGGGCACATGGCCAGGAGGGACCATTCCTTGAAGAAGGACATCATGCTTGGAAGGGTGGAGGGACAGTGTAGGACAAGACAACCCTGGATGGATTGACACAGTAATGGAGATAATAGGGGTAAGTGTACTAGAACCAATGAGCCTGGCTCAGGATAGAGAGGGTTCATAACTATTGTATATAGGGTCGCTGTGAGTCACAGGTGATTCGATTACACATAACAATTATGGACATCTAGCTTCAGTGATTGGGGTATTGGAGGTAGTTGTGTTGGTGACAGTAAGATTGCACAGGATAGAGCAGGGTGTAGGGCTGTTGTATGTAGGGTTGCTATGAGTCACAGGCAACTGGATGGCATGAAACAATAACATTTTTTTTAGTTGGGGTTATTAAGACTAAAGTTGCTTTAACTATGTGTGTGTAGGTTTTTATGCATTTGGACTACGGTTTTAGCAGAGAATATTGAGTATTCTATAGACTGTCATGGAAGAGGTACACCTAAAATACCTCAGAAGGAATGATGGTGAGACTTCGTCACATAAACTTTAGACATGTTATCAGGAGGAACCAGTTCCTGCAGATTGCTAAAGTCTCATGCTTGCTAGAGTAAATGGTCAGTTAAGAAAAAGACCCCTCAAGATGAAGGATTGACAGCGATGGGCTGAAGCAAACAGCAGTTACGAGGGTGGTGCAGGACTTGGGCAGAATATTGTTCTGTTGAACATAAGATTGCTATAAATCTGAATCCACTCAGTGACACTTTGAAGCAACATATATTTTATGTGAATGTAGTTTTCATTTCTCTGGAATAAATTCCCAGAGTGCAATTACTAGTTGATATCAGTCCAAACATTTTAGACTGGCTGTGCCATTTTTTTATTCCCACCACCAGTGTGTAGGTGATCCAGTTTCTCCCACCCTCACCAGCATTTTGTTGGGGTCATTTTTTATGTTAGGCATCCTACTCGTTGTGTAGTAATATGTCATGTGGTTTCAAATTGCATTTCCCTGATGGCTACTGGAGTTGAACATCCATTTTTGCAGCCTGTATATCTCTTCGATGAAATGTATTCCTGTGTCCTTTTCTAATCAGATTGTACTCACACTGATGAATTTTTGGAACCTCTTTAAGTATTTTTTATGTTAATGTTTTGTCATTTAAGATGATTTATCCCACAGCCAGCAGCTCATCTTCACAGAATTTTTCGGGGAGCTGGTGATGAAAACTAGATTTTTATACAGTCTAGTTAATCTATATCCTAAGTATTTTCTCATACATAGTCTAAATGTTTATCTTTTTGTTTTAAATTTAGATATGAACCATTTTGAGTTAATTTTTATATAAAAGGTGAGACTTAGATTGACGTTAATTACCCCCCTCTCTGGAAACTCTATGAACTTTGAGAAACGACGATAGTTAACGAAAGGCTTCAGGTCTTTTGTCCATTGGGTTGCTATGAGTTGTGCTCAACATCTATGAAATCTAACTGCTCTAGTATGATTTGTTGCAAACACTTTTCCTTCAACATGCTTTTTTTCTCCTTTCAGAAATGTTGTTTGGTGCAATTGCGTGGGTGCAGACTGATGATGAGAACTCATGTAGAGAGAACAGAATGCCGCCCTCCTCAGACCTGTGGAGTCCTCACAGGCTTGCTGTGCTTTGAGCACATTGGTATAGCCACTGCAGGGTCGTCCTCTTTTTCCTGAGCCTCGACTTCCCAAGCATGATATCCTGCTCCAGGTCCTTTTCCTTCTGATAACGTGCCCAAAGGAAGTGATGCAAAGTCTGGCTGGCCTCACTTGCAAGGAACATTTTGATTGCATTTCTTCCAAGACAGATTAGTTTGTTCTTTTGGAGACCCATGCTTGTTGTTTGTTGTTGTTATGTGCCATCACTTATGACTCATCGATCCTGTGTACAACAGTTCTGAAACCTACACTGTCCTGAGCCAGTCTCACTGACTCCAACGTGCCTACCCCTGTAACCCCATTTTCTGTATCAAACCCTCTCATACAGGGTCTTTCTCTTCTGTGCTGTTCCTCCACCATTCCAAGCCTGATGTCCTTCTCTAAGGACCGGTCCCTCCTGGCAACATGACTAAAGTATGTGAGATGGAGCTTTAAAATCCTTGCCTCCAAAGAACAACTTGGCCTCTCCTTCTCTAGGACAACTATTTACCAGTACTAAATTTCGAAGGCGTCAGTTCATTTTTTGTCTTTATTTTTTCAGCTTTCACATGTACATGAAGACCAAACAAAAAGCCAAACACACTGATGTTAAGTCAGTTCCTGTGTGAGGAAGACTTAGTGTGACTAACTTCCATCTGGTTCCTGTGGCTGTAAATCTTAATGGGAGCAGACAACCCATCTTTCTCCCACAGAGCAGTGGTGGATTCAAACTACTGTCTTTTTGGTTAGCAGCCAAGCACATAATTCACTGTGTCACCAAGGCTCTTACACATGTATAATATGAGACAGTTGAAACTGCTGTACTTGGATCAGGCATACCTTAGTGCAGAAAGTGACATCCATGCTTGTGAGCACTTTAAGAAGGCCCTTTCCAGCAGGTTGCATATTTCTACCTTCAAAGTTTAGTTTCTCTATGTGTAAGATGACTGTTACCCTCTGTCTCCTAGTGTACAGTGCCAAACAGGAATTTCTGTTCTTGACAACCATGCCGGACGTGGGGAAGTTGCCTGAGGAGAAGCACTTACCTGAGGAACTGAAGGTGGGCATGAGAAGGCAGTGGGCCCTGGTCCCCTTGCAGATGGTCATCCCAGAAGGGGGCTGTTGTATCCTCCTGAGGAGAGTGATCACACAAGGGCCATTGTTTACCCAGCACAGCACTGCTCACCAGGTTCCTTGGTGTCTGGGCCTCATGTAGCAGATACTGGAGTGGGTTATGTGGAAAGGAAGCGAGGGCCTGGCATCAGGAAGAGCCTCACTTTGGTGGGTGCTGAGGGGATATGATCCCCAAGAGTGGGATGGAGTGCAGTTCTATCATTCTGGCAGGGAGAGGCCTTTGGCTCCAGCATTGCTACTTTACCCATTGAGAGCTTTCTGGGAGGGCTGCTGGCCAATGCCTGCCTTTCTGAGAGGACTCAGTGGAGAAATGGGAATGGGGTTGTTAATTATTTACAAAAACAGTGTTTTCCTTGTTGATTTGAGCAGATTCCTTCTAGCAGCAAATGCACTCTCAGAATTACTATTCTTGAGAACTTTAGATTATTTCTCTGTTTATGCACATTCTTTTTAAAAAAAAATATCTCTTACTGATTTTCATCTACTAATAAGGTGACCCAACAGAGTGTGGAAACTATAGAACAATATCATTGATTTCACATGTAAGCAAAATTCTACTGAAGATTATCCAAAAACGACTGGAATAGCACATCAGCAGAGAACTGCCAGAAGTCCAGACTGGGCTTAGAAGGGGTTGTGGTACTAGGGATATTGTAGCTGATGTTAGATGGATCTTAGCTGAAAGCAGGGATATACCAGAGGAATGTCTATCTGTGTTTCATTGACTATGCAGAGGCATTTGACTGTGTGGATCATAACAAACTGTGGCTGACTCTGAGAAGAATGGGAATCCCAGAGCACTTGATCATTCTAATGCGAAACCTATACTTGGACCAGGAGGCAGTCGTCAGAACGGAGCAAGGGAACACTGCATGGTTCAAAATTGGGAAGGGCATACGCCAGGGATGCATCCTACCTCCATACCTTTTCAACCTGTATGCAGAGCAGATTATCCGGGAGGCTGGGCTCTATGAGGAGAAATGTGGGGTCAAGATTGGTGGAAGATCTATCAACAATCTGCTTTATGCAGATGACACAACCTACTTCCTAAAACTGAGGAGGACCTGAAGCGCTTGCTGCAGAGGGTCAAGGACTGCAGCCTTCAATATGGATTGAGGCTCAATGTCAAGAAGACAAAGATTCTCACCACTGGGCCTATTGGCAGCATCTGGATGGATGGTGAAGAGATTGAGATTGTTCACAGCTTTAGTTTGCTTGGCACCACAGTCAACACTCGTGGCGCACCAGTAGCCAGGAAATTAAAAGACATATTGCCCTGGGAAGGTCTGCTGTTAGTGTCCTCTCCAAAGTACTGAAGAGCAGTAGTATCTCTCTGGATGCTAAGGTGCATCCGATACAGGCCATGGTCTTTGCAATCACTTGTTTTGCATCAGAGAGTTGGACAATGACCAAAGAGGATAGAAGGAGAATTGATGCCTTTGAACTGTGGTGCTGGAGAAGAGTATTGAGAATACCATGGACTGCTAGGAAAACAAACAGATTTGTCCTGGAAACGTTTAAACCGGGTGGCTCCTTGGAGGCAAGGATTCTGAGGCTTCGTCTGACATACTTTGGACATGTTGTGCAGAGAGACCAGTCCTTGGAGAAGGACATAATGCTTGAGAGGGTGGAGGGACAGCGCAGGAGGGGAAGGCCCTCTAGGAGGTGGATTGATTCAGAGACTGGGGTAATCAGCGTAGGTGTGTCAGAGACAACAACAACATAATTGGAGTGGCACAACAATGTCCTGGAAACAGCAGACAACATCAAATTCCACACACAAAAAATAAGATGTCACAAAACAAAAAATACGCGAAACACAGAGTCAGTGGACCTCCCAGAGGAAAGACTGATGGGAATTTCTGAGAAAGAATTTGGAAGAATAATGTTGAAATGTTTTCACAAGATGGAAGAAAAATAAGCAGAATTTAAGAAATCCATAAGCAAAACTATAGAAGAATTTTAAATGTCAATATAAGACAAAAGCTAGCACCAGTGGAATTTTGGAAGCCATCTACGAAATCCAGAATAATAAATCCAGCATTTTAGAAGCTGTCAACATGTTGGAAGGCCAAAAGAGCCAAATTGAAGAAATGGAACATGGAATCAGTGAAACAGAAAACAGAACTCTCAACATTAACATGCTAGATGAAAAGGCAGAAACAAGAAGGGCAGTTTAAAAAACAAAAATTATGTAGGATATCATCAAGAAGAATAACATACATGTGATAGGAATTCCAGAAAAAGAAAAGAGGAAAAAAAGGCACTGAGAAAATTGTGAAAGAGTAAAGGAAGAAAACATTCTTGGTATCATGAAAAATAAGAAAATATACATCCAAGAAGCTGATCATATCTCAAACAGGACAGATCCCAAAGGAAAAACACCAAGACACATCATATTCAAATTCTCTAAAATAAAAGACAAGGAGAGAATTCTAAAAGCACCTAGAGAAATACAAAGAGTTACCTACAAAGGAACAAGATTAAGCTCAGATTTCTCAGTAGAAACCAGGTAAACAAGAAGGGATGACATATAAAACTCTGAAAGAAAGCAGCCAGCTACCAAGAATCTTGTACTCACCAAAAAGGGCCATCAAGTATGACAAGAAATTAGGACATTCTGAGAAAAGCAGAAACTAAGGGAATTTGTGGAAAACGGCCAGCTTTGCAAGAAACACTAAAGGAAGTCCTTCAGACAGCATAATAAAGTGGATGTATTAACCAGCAACAACACAAAAAAGAACCCAACAACAACAAAAATCACATTGAATGTGAATGGTGTAAAAATGCCAGTTAGGCCTTTCTGCAAAGGTGGTGCCAAAAACGAAGAAGGAAGTCCTTGACCCACCCAAAACTGAAGCCAAAGCAAAGGCATTAAAGGCCAAGAAGGCAGTCCTGAAGGGCATCCACAGACCAAAAAAAAAAAAAAAAAGCTCATCCACACGTCACCCACCTTCTGTCGGCCTAAGATACTGAGAGTTGGAAGGCAGCCCAAATAGCCCTGGAAGAACGTCTCCAAGAGAAACTAGCTTGACCACTATGCCATCATCAAATTTCCCCTGACCATTGACTGAGTCAGCCAGGAAGAAGATAGGAGATAACGACATACTTGTGTTCACTGTGGATGTCAAGACCAGTAAGCACTAAATTAAACAAGCTGTAAAGAAGCTCTATGACATTGAAGTGGCTAAGGTCAACACTTTGATTAGGCCCGATGGAGAGAAGACGGCCTGTGCTTGACTTGTTCCTGATATGATGCTTTGGATGTTGCCAACAAAATTGGGCTCATCTAAACTGAGTCCAGCTGGCTAATTCTAAATACAGACTTTTTCTCACCAAAAAACAAACCAGCCAACCACCAGTTAGGAGAAAAGAAAAGGCAAAATGGATTAAAAAAAATACTCATCAATACGTGAATAGAAATAGCATTTGATCCAGCTATTCCGCTATGAGAATATACCCTAAAGAAATCAGAGCTTTGACACAAACACGTGTGGGCATATCCCAGAGATGGAAGCAACCTCAGTGACTGTCAACAAATGAATGGATAGAGAAACTGTGGTATGTTCACACAATGGGTATTATGAAGCATTGAACAAAAAACTCAAACACTACAAAACATGGGTGAGTCTAGAGGACATTATGTGGAGTGAAATAACTCGGTCACAGAAGAACAAATATTGTATAAGACCACTGTTAGAAAAGTAAGAGGGTTGTTGAGGGGCGGATCTGCAGTCATCAGCTGTACTGGAGGTGAGTAGGAAGAAACTGTACCCCTCATTTTATTCATGCCACCTGCAGAGGTACCAAGAACATACTTGGGGTTTTTTTAACATTATTTTTTAAAAAAATCTTTTACCTGTGGCTTTGCGGGGTGTGTGGTGGGGTGTATAAATAACACACTTTGCTGAAGTTGAGCTTTTAAATGTAGCTCGAACTAATTTTTTGCCTTGTTTCACTGGTGTTTTATTGTGTCATTTGTGACTTATACCAGTAGTCCCATGATTTGGTCTGAGGAATTCGTATGTTAGAAATATTTTGTAATGAGAAATACCATATATCCCAGAAATATACCAAAAATAGCCCCATGCATACAGCTGGTGTTAGGTGTCTTCTACACATGTAAACCCAGAAATACCTGAGGAGGAGGAATACTGAAGAAAATTAATAGGGGAGCAACTTCACTAAAATTCTTGAATGAAGTTTCCTGCTGTTTCCAGAAAATGATAAGCCATAATGTCATCGGCAAAGTAGTAGGTACATGTTTACCTGTCTTATCTGTCTGAGTAGAGGATCAGAAAACAAAAGGATAGGTGTCTCTTTGACTTTTCTGAAAGGACTGGTAATCTTAAAGACATTCTCTTGTTTTCATTTTAGTGCTGTAGTTTAAAGTTTGTGACATTCTTTTACTTATAATTGTTTTTAAAAGGGGTGGCACAGCCAATGGTAGAATCACAGTTGACTTGAAATTAGTTGTGGTTCAGTATATTCACTTAGCCTGAATCTCAAGCCCAGCAGTGGGTCACCTCCCTGGCATTTGTAGGAGGGCAAGCAATGATTCTGGCCACTTCATCCTAATGTCCCTCTCTCCTTGCGCAGCTTTTGCTGGGGCTCTAGACTGTTTCCTACTAACAAAGCTCTTGTGCCTGTTTTGCTTCTAGCCAACTGGAAAACTGCTCTCAGACGGCCGGCTCGTTGAGCCTTTGGTCTACATGGAGCGCCTGGAACTCATCCGAAACGTTTGCAGAGAGGAGGCTTTGAAGAACCTCTCACACACTGCTGTCTCCAAGTTTGTTCTGGACCGAATATTTGTCTGTGATAAGCACAAGATTCTTTTCTGCCAGACTCCCAAAGTGGGCAACACGCAATGGAAGAAAGTGCTGATTGTTTTGAATGGTGCGTGTAATACTCAAGCATGTCTGTTTGTGTGGAAGCTGGTGGGCTGGCGGCGTCTAGGGAAGGAATGATTTCTCTGAAAGGACTGGTCACCTTGAAAACATTCCCTTGTTTTCTTTTCATATTAGAGCTATACTTTGAAATTAATTTAGATACTGATTGTTTTTAAAAGAAGTGGCAGAGCCAAGGGCATAGTCACAGTTGCTTGCTTTCTGCGTTGGGATCCTCATCTCTGGTAGCTTGTTCCAAACTCATCTCTGCTTCTCAGATACATTACACTCATTCATATCTTCACATCATGTTGCTGCTGTTGTTGTGTACCATCAAGTCAGAACCGTCCCATAGCAGACCCTCCAGCGGGTCTTCAGAGGCAGTTAATTGTACAGGAGGAGATTGCCCATCTTTCTCCCTCAGAGCAGCTGGTGAATTCAAACCACATGCCTTTGGGGTTGCAGCGTCGCTTTTTACCACTAAACCAGCGGAGCTCCTCATTGCACTGAGCATTATTAGCTTAGTTCTGGCCATGACTAGTCAAGGCCAGACTCACTGAGCCACCAGAAAGCTGACCCTCACAGTTGCCTTCTTCTCCAGTGCCCAGGAGGCGTTTCTCCCCGACCTTCCAGGCCTGGAACCTCCAGCCCTAGTGAACACAGTTCTTCATCTGGAGACCAAGTTGTCCATCACAGGTGGCTAGATAGAAATTATCCTCATTTTACACCTAAGCATTTGCATTCAGAGTACTTAACGGCTTGCTTTAGGGAATCTGTTTACTGGGGAGCAAATGAAATTGTTGAAAAGGGACCACAAGCACTGCATTTTTTTGATTACTTATGCTCTTTTTAGATACTTAACTTGCTTGTTTAAATTTTAATTGCTTTCAGCTAACCCAAGTTAATTTTGGCCCTTATTTATGCAATTCAGCTTCCAAGGGAACATACCATATATTGACAGCAGTATGACTCCTGGACCTGGAGGCCTGTGAGTTCTCCACACTCCAGGCCTATTACTTAGGTCTTCAGGGTTGGCGGTTAATGTTTGCTGTCGTTGGGCCTTTTACAGGTTGTTGAGGAGAGAACAGAGCTATGCCTCATCTTCTAGTCGCCAGCTTGTTAATCAATGTGCGTGGTATGTTGCATTGGAACCTTCTGGCAGTCTTCCGATCTTTTTGTGTTGTATTAGAGAAGAGGTTACAAATCAAGTTTACGATAAGGATTATACAAAATTATCTCACAAATCTGCACTGCAGGATGAAGAATACTTTCATGGGAAGTGTGCACCCACTTAATGCCAAGTCATGTAACAGAAGCAGGGCTGGTCCTGGTGGTGCTCCTGAGTTGTTCCGACATGCACCAGGTGCAATTCCTCAGAACAACTTCTTTTAGAATCCCCTTGAGAGGGAAGGTTTTTTTTCTTCAAGGTGACACTTGTTCACTGGCCACCCCATAGCATTCAGCAAAGAGTTCTGCAAAGTACTGGTACTTAAGGAATATTTTTAGAAGGTATGAATAAAACAGACAAGACTGTGGTTACAGCTGAAGTAGCCAAGCAGGATTCTGACCTGGCAGAACTAGAAGCTTACTGCAATAGGATCAGTGTGAAGATGGATGGTAGGGTTTGTAGGGGCTTGGCTAAAACCTTCTCAGCATCATGACAGTTTATTTCTATTGACATAAATGTGGAAGAGAGTGGGAAACTTGCCTAGTCTGCTGGCCTCAGGATGGATCTCACCCACAGTCCAGTCAGTAGCCTGGGAGTAGGCACTTTGGCTTGGATAGACAGACGTGGCTTTGTGTGTTGGCCTGCCTGGCTGCAGATGCTCTGCGTCCTCTGCTGAATCCTATTTCAAGTATGTCACAGCTCCTGGAACATTGGTCAGATTTCTTCAGCATCTAAACCCCTTGCTGCTTCCTAGTGTGGGCAGAGGGCAGCCCCAGGCTGAAGGAGTGTGGTTGCCGGGAGAGCCGGCCTGTCAGTCCTGGTGACCATGGCAGTGGCGAGGGCACTGAGCAGCATGGTTAGCGGTTGTTCCTCTGGAATTCCCCTCACCGCACTGAGTTCATTTTGGAAAAGTGGCTTACATGCTGTAGTCCTTAAGGGCAGATGCATTGCCAGGAGCAGATTTTGTCAGTCTTTATACTCCTTGTTACATTTTCCTTCTTCTCTCCCTAACTCCTCTCCCTCTTCCAATTGGCTTATGGGTTACTAAAGCTCTTTTCAGCATATTATCTGAGGAGAAGCATCTGCCAGGAGAAGCAGATGGCATTCAAGCATCTAAAGGTGATTTCTGAAGGCAGGCTTGTTGTGCATGCCTGTGGGGAATGGGAGGGCACGTTAAACAGAGACAGGGCCTCTTTCTTTAAGGATAGTACTGGGGTTGTCAACCTTCACTTCTTGTTTACTTCCAGGAGCTTTTCCTTCCATCGAAGAAATCCCTGAAAATGTGGTTCATGACCATGAAAAGAATGGCCTCCCACGCCTGTCTTCCTTCAACAATGCAGAGATTCAGAAACGGTAAGAGCAGGTTTTATAAACAGAATAGGCCTTTTAAAATAAGGAAAAACATTTTGGTAAAATCTGAGGCTGAGCTCTGGCCTTGCCACATGCCCCATGCTGCTCCTTGGATTCCCAGGGGCTGTAGGCCTGGTGAGAGGCAATGAGAATATGCCCAGTGTTGGTGTGTTCTCAGTCCTATGAGGACTTCAGCACTCCCGGAGACCCGCCAGTGCTGTCCATTGAAGTGGAAGTCACATCAGCTTTTTTTTAAAAAGATAATTAAATGGTAACTTTTAGTCGACTTGCAGAACAAGATGCTTTTTAAAAAAGCATAAGTTGCAAGTGACCATCGGGTTACCCACTGACCCCTGACCTCCCTCGCTTTTCACACACTGGCTTTTCATTGCTTCTGATTCTAGTTTATTCTAGTTTTCCACTTTGTACAGAACTCTGTGTGTGTGTGTGTGTGTGTGTGTGTGTGTGTGTGTACACAAAACTTTTAAACTTCACAAGTTAAATGGCAGATCAGAGATGGATCAGGACTTTGCTGTGTTCCTTATGAAGTTTTATAAGGGTAAACAGTTTCTGGACTGCAGTAAGCATTCTGCAAATACAGAGAAGTTATTGCTGGTGTTACTGTCATTACTACTATAAGCTGTTCACAACACCACCATGACTCCACTACTGTTATTACTACTACTTTTGCTACAGGCAGCCCACGTGGGCCATCTCACTCGGGGTAATGCCTCTGCCTTCATTTTCTGTTACCCTGGCCCCTTCTCTTTCCCACTTCCTCTGGCAATTTTAAGTTGAGTTTTTAAAAGTAACCTCTAATGTAACTTTACCTGGTCTCAGTTCTGTTCCTATCTTACTCAGGGTACCTCCATTTTCAATTTTCTTAACAGGTAAAAAAACTTTTTAAACCTTCTTAGCATTTGGAAGTATTTAAGCAAAACAGAGCAAAGGCTAGAATTCTTCACAGGGGCTGCCCTCTAGGAGGAATACTGTGACTCTGGACAAGGTCATACTCCTGAGCCTCTGTTTCCTCTCCTGTCAGATGCGTCAATAACAGGATTTTCTTCCTAGGGGTGTTGAGGGGATTAAGTAAAGATGCATGTAAAGCACTTAGCACTCTGACTGGTACGAGTTAGGATGGAAGAAATGGTAGCAATTGTTGCTGTCACAGCTCTTCAGGGTTTCAGCTTGATAACATTACCACAGCAGCATCTCATCAACTACTTGTTTTTCTTTTTCTGTAGATTGAAAACATACTTCAAGTTTTTTATTGTGAGAGATCCATTCGAAAGACTTATTTCTGCATTTAAGGACAAGTTTGTTCATAACCCTCGGTTTGAGCCTTGGTACAGGCATGAGATTGCCCCTGGCATCATCAGGAAATACAGGAGGAATCGGACGGAGACTCGGGGGATCCAGTTTGAAGATTTCGTGCGCTACCTTGGCGATCCAAACCATAGATGGTTAGATCTTCAGTTTGGAGACCACATCATTCACTGGGTGACATACGTAGAGCTCTGCGCACCCTGCGAGATAAAGTACAGTGTGATTGGACACCATGAGACCCTAGAGGACGATGCTCCTTATATCTTAAAAGCAGCAGGGATAGACCATCTTGTGTCCTATCCAACCATACCTCCAGGCATTACTGTGTATAATAAAACCAAGGTGGAGCACTACTTCCTGGGGATAAGCAAACGAGATATCCGGCGTCTGTATGCACGTTTTGAAGGGGACTTTAAGCTCTTTGGGTATCAGAAACCAGACTTTTTGCTAAACTAATGCCTAGGGTCTGTGGATTCCAGTATATTTGTGAGTTCAGCATCTGTGTAACTAGATGGAGATCTGAGCACAGGAATGGTGCTTCCTCAAGGACTTGCCTGAAGACCCCCGTTGTCTCCCATGTACCTTTAGCATTTTGGTTTATGAAGTGGAATTCCAACAGTTACCACTTAGTTCAGTGTAAAGTACATGGAAGGGCCCAAACCCACCTACAGATGCCAATAGGATGCCACAACCTTTGTCCTCTGAGGAAGAGAAAGACTAAAAAGGTGTAGCCTGACAAACAAGTAGGAAAAAATAGTTTTAGGAGTCATTTCACTCGGTTGTCAGTAGTGAGTTCACCCCTGCAGCGATCCTTAATGGTCAGAAAGTGGTTTAGTCTGTTACAGGTAGATGGCAGCAAACAGCACCCCAGTGTTCACAGTGAGAATGGAGCAGTATATGAACTGCAAAAACGGCAGGGGCTCAAACAGGATCAAATTTTAGTAAGAAAATGATACTTTTGGCTTTAATTTTGGCGTTCCTGTAGTCACAGAAGCAAACGGAATTTTCCAATTTTTTTTTTCTCTTTTAAATTTCAGTAATGACCAAAGGGAAGCTTTAAGCAGTACATCCTCTCAGAGTACATACCTGTATAATGCTAGTTCATATTTCTGAGCCTCTACCTGCCAAACAGTTATCTCATTCAGTCCAAGAATTAAAATTTTACAAGGTAATGTTCCCACCTGAGAAAGGGGCTCCAAAGAGAATGTGGCATGCTGACACAAAGGCCTGGTGGGTTCCAGAAACCGAGGCCTGCTGTGGATTTGCATACAGACATCCTGACTCTTGTGCAGCCTCTCATCTTGGCCTGCCTTAGTCTGGATAGGGCTGCAGGGCCATTCACTACCAATTCCAGGAACCCATGCCTGGAGCTAAAGGCGAGCAGGGGCAGCGTGTCAGCACCGCAGAATTCAGTGCTGTTTATACGTTCTGTCTCCTTTCATCTCCACCAGATTCCCACCACTGGACTCATTTCTTACAAGGCCACCATCCTACACTAAAAGACTACAGTTGGGAATATTGAGTTCACCAGCAATAAAATCCTCACTGGAGGCAGCCTCTAATACTGAGCTGAGCCCCAGTGGGGAGCAAACCACAGGTCCCGTTTCAGAGACAGTCTGACTTCAGCCACCATGGGGCAGGGGGACAGGTACCTGGAAGAAGCCCAAGTTCTCAACCTTAAAAGGTGCAGATAATCCCAGAACTCAAGGCAGTAAAGCAGGCTGCTTCTCCAGGCAGCTCCAACCTTTCTTTTTTCTTCAAGTGAAGAGAAAGCTTTCCCAAATTTGTAAATGTGAAAGTAAAACTTAAAAAAAACCCATGCCAAACCTGACATTTGCTGCAGTTCCAGAGGAAGGTGCTCCGGCTGCAGCCGACCCGAGGCCTCTGAAGGTGCTGGATGTGCAGAGGCGGCCGGGAAGAATGTGAACAGGGAGTGCCACGGCCCTGGGTCCTCACCTGACACCTAAAGGATGTAACACGAGTTATTTTTATATGAAGTTTTAGCAATGTCTTGCTAAATTGTTTCAGACCTAATGAGCTGATAGATTACCTCTTTCATATTTGAGATGTAAGTGTGGATAATGTGTGTGCCTTTAAGGCCTTAAGTTAGTCCTGATTTAAAAAAAAAAATTCATCTTGAACACAAGAGAGTGGACTGTTGTTTGTTCTTGTTTTTTTTCTACCCTCTGTTTTTCATAAAGGAAAATCTGGTGTTTGGGTGAGATTTATGATATGTCCTGCCAGACTAGAGATTACAACAGATGTGGTGGTTGTTAAGTACTGTCAAGTCCGCACAACTCCGAGCAACCACATGAGCAGTGGACCCCTGCACCCTGCCCTGTCCTGCACCCTCTGCCCAGTCCTGCACCCTCTGGCCTGTCCTGCACCCTGCCCTGTCCTGCAC